ATACAATAATAATCTAAAAAATATTGAATTCTAAAAAATACTCAAATTAAAAATCAAAAAATCGATCTATTAAATATTAATTCATAAATATATTTATAGATATTTAAATTTAGAAATTTTTTTTAGATATATTAAATAGAGTTTGAAAATCTAATGCCTAAAATAGCAATCCAAAAGTTTAATTCTAAAGAAGTTTATTTCATAAAATACTTTATTTAAATCCTCTAATGTATAAAATATATATTTTACCAGAAATTTATAACTAGATTGATTAGTATTAAGATTTTTCTTTTGAGATCGTATTCTTAAAATCAAAGTAGGCTTTTAATGTAAGAAGACATTTTTCATTTTATCATATCTAAAATACAGAGAGAATATTATTATTTTTGATATGAATAGAATTTTCCATTTCAATAATTTTCTTTATCAAATAGATAAAAAATAAAAAAAACTAAAAGTAAAATTTTCTAATCAAACAAGTAATCTCACCTATTATTAAGCTCATTTTGAATTTTTTCAAATTTTAAATTAGTTTACATTTAATTGAAATATCTTCAAGTTAAAACTAATAAATCAAAGGTATGTATAATATTTTCAAATTATTTTTAAATTTATAGTGAAATCAGATAGATAGAATCTTTTAAACAGGTATCAGGCGATATTATATCTTTAAAATCTAAATTTATGTAATTAATTTTAAAGAAAAAATAAAATTTTACCTAAACATACAAAAACTTTTTAAAAAAACTACAATTAGGTATTATTAACAAATATGTTTCTGATTAAGATATTTATGATAATACTTAATCAACATTATTAACCTTAGATTATATACAATAAATAAGAAAATAATTTGTCCATTCATAATTTCTAGATTATTTCTTAAAAGGATTACATATTATCTTTGGCCTAATTTATATTGAAAACTGAAATTTAATGGAAAAAATTAATTAATGTTCAAAAAATTCTCAAGGATATATTTAAGCATTATATTGTAAATTTAAATATTATCATTAGGGTGAAATTAGTTTATTGCTCTTGTGAGGTCTTCAAAACAATTACTACTCCAAATACAGGATAAAGGTTAATTGAATAAGATTTATCATCCCTTGTTACTTTAGATTACGCTTGGGGTGTATGGACAAAATATTCTAAATTTTATGTTTCAAAATAACTCTATTCGGAATATATTGTATAGATTGTATTTAGAATCCAAACTTATGGTATTTAAATCCAAGATGCACAACAGATTATCTAATGCCCTTTTCTAATGATACAAATTATGTGTTTTTGAAAAAAGATAGAAAAATAAAAGATTTTGAATACTATTTAATCAATTAGTTGAATATCACATAATAGCCAGTCCTTGAATCATGCTTTGGATGCTTAGAATAAACTGAAAGTTCTTTCAATTTTATTGAAAAATATACTTTAAATAAAATCTAAAAGTTTTTATGTAAGAGTTGTTATTAATCAAATAATGGAGAATGTGTTAAAGTAAATAAGAATTGTAATGAATGCAATAACTATCATTAATGTATAAGTTGTGAATTAAATTACACTCTATATGATAATAGATGTTTAGAATGTCCCTTAGAATGTCCCAATTGTAAATACAATTAAACTGGTTATTATTGTAGAGAGTGTATTACAGGTTATTATTTTAATTAAACACTTGAATAATGTCAATAATGTGGCTAATTTTGTAAAGTTTGTATTTACTCTTCTACTTTGAATAACCTGTAATGTGTAAGATGCATTCATGATTAGGATTATTTTATCTCTGCAGAGAAATTAAACTGCAAAACAAAAACCTTACCTAACTGTGAGATTGAGGTATCAGAACATTATCTAGTTTATTTTAATTAAAGTTTAATGTTAGAAGCTTAATAATATAGTAATTCTCTAGATATTGTTACTTTCAAGGAGACCATTCCAGTATTTTAAGTTTGTCTAAAGTGTAAAAATGGATATATCAATAAAATGTTAGTTTAGTAATATTATGAATGTGCATCAGTAGAGTCTTAAGGTAACTTTTTACCAAAAGAATTAAAACTTAAAATATTAGAATCTAAAAATAATGATTTTCAATTAGCTTTATATAGTCTACCATAAAATCCTTAACTAAAATTTGTTATTATATATGGAGATCGTGTTAATTCTTACTCTAGTATTACTACAATTTCAAATCCAATTACTGGAATATTTTGTAATGATCCTAATTGTATGGTTTGTGTAAATAACTACATTTAAGAATAATAATATTGTATGTAATGTTTGAATGGATTCTATTCGAATACTTTTTTAGGAAAATGTTATTAATGTCCATCAACTTGTTCTTCATGTATTGAATAAAACAAAGTTTATTAAGATGCTTGGAAATGGCAATATAAAATTAATTATCATTTTAGAAATTATTTATTAGATGGTTAGCATAATTTCAATGTCTTTGGAACTAAATTAGATATAGAAAATTTAGAGGTCATATGCACAGCTTGTCCATAAAATGGTATACTTTATAATAATAAATGCTATCCAAAATGCAATTGTGATTCCTGCATTATAGAAAATGATTAATCAGTATGCATTAGTTGTAATAGTCTAAACACAAAAACAGTTTATCATGGATAATGTCATCTTTGCCCTTAATTTTGTGAATTATGTAGAGAAATTACTGAAGAAGAAAAGCTTAAAATTAATCCTTATTTCTAACCAGATGATATTACACTATAGAAATATGCATAGTAATGTATAAAACGTTAATCTGAACCTCCAAAATCTGGAATATTGTACTATGATCATACTTTGGGTTATGAAATTAATTGTCTAAACTCTGAAAAGAAAGATTGTTATCTTTACCTAGAAATTCCAATTAATTTATACTGTTCTAAATCAATTTTTGATTATTATTTTTATAGATTAGAAACTTCAGAAGAATAAAATGAATTTTTAAGTAAAAATGCTCTTATTTCTGAAATTTTTTCTACACTTAATATCAACCATTTCTCTGTAGAAACTAATTATCTATTTAATGAACTAAACTAAAAAAGTGTGAAATTAGTGAGATACATCTTAAATGTATTACCAAAAACTGGGGATTGTATCATAAAAAAAAATACATTTATTAAATCGGAAATCCGTCGAAATGTCTTCACAGTATAATATTTAGAACTAATTTTATAATCCCCTAGCAGTAGAATGTAGATTTATCTAGATGACAATATTACTTTTTATGAATTCACTGCAATCAATTTAAAAAATCTTTAGATTATTCCAAATAATAATACTACATCATTGAATATTAAAAATTTATATAGTATATCGGTTTTGTTAGAAGAGATTTAAATAAAGAATATCAATTAAAATTAATTTAAAATAGCAATCTAAAATCCAAATAATATAAAAATAAAGGATTTTTAAATTTTAGATTCTAAATTAGATAATCTTAATGGAATCATTAATTATTACTTTACTCAAAATTTAACAAAGACTTTAGTATTTTAAATTGATTAATTTATAATATCAAATTGTTTTATAACTAATTCAAAATTAATAGTTTAAATTTTGGATACAGGATACAATAATCAACTACTTAAAGTCAATAATTTTAAGTCATTAAACAATAAATATATATCATCAATTACTTTCTACACTTAATTTAATAATTCAAATAGAGAATCCATATTCAATATTGAATAATTTAATTCTGAACATGATGAATTAACTAATTCAAGTCTATTTAATATACCTGGAGTATTAAATGTTGAATTAATAAACATTATAGTTTCTAATGGTAAATTTAATTCTCAAGTCTAATTATTTAAACTACCTCTATTCTCTATTGACAATAAGTTAATATCAAACAATAACTTCAATAGTCCTGATAATGTTGTAATAACAAATAAAGTAGATGCTTTATACAAAGATAACATCAAATCAAATAAAGTTTCATTAAATTCAATAACATTTGACAATAATAATTATATTGGAAGTAAAGTGTTCTTAGAATTAGAGCAAAGTGATCAATTTTTTGATTTAAAAGTTAATATTAATGGATTGACATTACATACTAATAAATTTACTTAACAAAATTACAAAGGTTCAGTAAATTCAGCCAATTCTTCTCTTTATTTTGATGTAAAGGAAATTTATATGGAAAATGTTAATATTATTAGAACTTTCACTCTTCCAGAGATATCTATTGTTAATGTTGATAAAATAGTGTTTAAAAATATAAGAGCTACATTAGATTATGAATTCAAAATTAAATTGTTTCATTAATTCGTTTCTTGTCTATAATAAAACTAAGATATTGGGTATGGTAGTATGATCTAGTTATATAATGTTAAATTAATTTAAATTGATAAACTTGAAATTACAGGTTTAATAATAATTAATTTACCGATTATAACATTAAAATCATTAGAAAGAACAAATTTTAGACAATCAGAGAAAATAGAAATGAAATACCTTAATTTGACAAACAATACAATTATTCTTACTAAATTGTCTGAACAACCTTGTGTTATTAGCATAATATCTGAATAATAATAATAAATTGATTTGTAAGATATTTATACCTTTAATAATCATCATCATACTTATTAAGAAGATTAACTATTCAAGTAATCATCAACTATTTATATAAATAGTCCTAATTCTAAAATTATATTAATTAAATCTATATTTGAAAATAATATTATCACTAATAATTAAGGATCTAATCTTGTATTTAAATGTGGAAATTTCTAGATGGAGGATTGTTATTTTAATTCTTAAAATGATTTATAATATTAATATTTAAAAGATCGTTTAATTTGGGGATATTAATAAAATGAAATAATTTTTATTGAGAATTTGCATTCAATTTTTCCTATTAAATCAAAGGG